ATAGAATAGTGGAGAATGGAGAATAAAGAATTCAGAATAAAATAGAGAATAGAATAGCATAAAAATTTAGAACAGAGAAAAGACTAAAGAACTTAGAATAGGTAACAGAATAGAATGCAGAATAGAAAATAGAATTAGAATAAAAATAGAATAGTACAGAGAATAGAGAAAATAGAATAAGAAATTTAGAATAGATACCAGAACAGAACAGAGAATAAGGGTAGACTAGAAGCTGGAAGGGAACTTGGAGGTCTTCTAGTCCAGCCCCTTGCTCAAGCAGGGGAACCGATAACATTTCAGATAAGGTGGCTGTCCAGACTCAGCTCCAGGACATCCCAACCCACATTATTTTCACAAATCTCACAGCAGTGAACATCGCTCATTCAGGCAGTCCCCGACTTACAACCATTCGTTTAGTGACCGAAGTCACGATGTCACTGAAAAAAAGTGACTCAGGACCAGGTTTCACACCTTGGCAACTGGTTCGTATTTATGACGGTGGTCGCCTTCATCCCAGGGTTACGGAATCACCATTTCCGTTCACCTTTCCCAGAGGGCTTCTGACAAGGAAAGTCGAGAAGGCGGGTTTGCTTAGCGACCATGCGATTCACTTCATGACTGCAGGGCTTCCCTTGGAGGCTGTGGCAAAATGGTCGCTGAACTGGCTTTGCTCAGCAACGGAAATTTTGGGCTCCACTATGGTCGTTAAGGACAACCTTAGGTCGTAAGTCGAGGACTACTCTTCCCCTCTCAACAACAACCCTGTGAGGTGGGCTGAGAAAGAGAGGGAGGGACTGGCCGGCCGGTTTCCGTCCCTGGGGCAGCATTCGAACTCCTGACTTCTAGCCTTAAGTAGCCCGTAGTTAGGCGGCTGCCCCCCCACGAGCCCCCTCCCCACAGGCTTTGCCTTAGAGCCGGGGAATCCCCTCAGAAAGGCGGACCCCAACCCAGTTGGGGCTCCTCCACAGGAAAGGCCTCCGCCGGCTGGGCCTTCTCCACCCACCCCGGGCCAGGCAGGGTCCCTCAGCGGAGAACGCTGACAGGCCAGCCCCTTCGCCCGGGACCCCTCGCCCGACAAGGCCAGAACCCGCTCGGACGGCCTGAGGGGAAAACGCGCCCTCATTACCTTGCCCGACGCTCAAGGCGCCTGCGCGAACGCCCGCCCGCGCATGCCCTGAGCCTTCCGCCCGGCAACCGGCACGAGCGCGCGGCGCGGAACACGCAGACGCGGCGGCCTTTTTCCCCCCCCCCGGAGCGGACTGCGCAGGCGTCACCGTTGGCGCTCTCAAGCTCCCCCGTGGTCACTTGGCAACTCGCCCCTCCTCTCTCTCTCTCTCTCTCGCCGCCGCTGACCCTTCCGGCGACCCGTAGCATGCCGCCCTCTGACCTTCGGCGGCGCCGGGGTGAAAGGGCGGACGGCCATTTTGTGGCGGTTGGTCGCCCCTGAGGCCGGGGGCCCGGTCCAGCCAGGCCAGGCCGGGTCGGGTCGGGCGAAATCCCCGCCGCCATGTCGTCGTTCTCGGAGTCGGCGCTGGAGCGGAAGCTGTCGGAGCTGAGCAACTCGCAGCAGAGCGTGCAGACGCTGAGCCTGTGGCTCATCCACCACCGCAAGCACGCCGGGCCCATCGTCGTCGTCTGGCACCGAGAGCTCCGCAAGGGTGAGGGAGGCCAGCGAGCCGCAAGCGCCGCGTAAAAAGCGTCCCCGGACCGACCATCATCCCCGGCCAGGCTCTCCCCCGGCGTGGAGGGCAGCCGGGCGCCTTCTGGCCCTGAGGGGTGGTGGGCGGGAGGAGAGGCCCACAGGGCCTATTGTTTTGAGGGGTGGGGGGTCTGAAGGGCTTCATCTCCAGGCCTGGGTCGGATACGGGTAGTCTTCGACTTTTAACGATTCGCTTAGTGGCCTGCCCGAAGTTATAACAGTACTGGGGGGGGGGGGGGGGGGAAGGGGGCCCGTGGGCCGGCCCCGCACTTACGATCGCTGCAGATTTCCCGCCCTCCCCCCCGGTCTGGGGGGTCCAATGCAGGTGGTTGGCCAAGGGCTCACATTTTTGACCGTTGCTGTGTGTGTGTGTGTGTGTGTGTGTGTGTGTGTGTAG